TAAAGAGGTTGTGCTTATATAGAAGTAGTTTTTTATATATTTACTAGTAATTTGTTTTTGAGTATAAAATGTGATAAGGAGGGGTTTTTATATGATGTGATTATAGAGAGGTGACTATAGAGGGGGATAACTGTAAATAAATAATAAATTGGGCCAATCAAAATAGAGTTTATTCAAACTTCAAATTACTGGGCTTGGGCCTGGATTTTTAGACCTGTAATCAATACCAGGCTTTAGTAAATTTTAAAATCAGGCCGGGAAATTTTCAAGCCCGTAATAATTTTGGGTAAGTTCAGGCTGGGCTTGGGCCTAGATATACTGATTAATCTGGATTCAACAGATTTGGATATCCAATATGAACTATAAAATTGGGTTGGGCCAAAAGTTTCAAATTGTCTGAATTAAGCCTAATTTTGAGTTTCAAATTCTGGGACAAACTAAAATTTGAAATCTTTTTAGTTTTATCCTATGAATCATTTAGCTTTTTGGAAATATATTGCTATTTCCAGACTGAAGTTCTGAAGACAATGACATAATTCTGAAGAGTTAGATGGCCTTTAGGATGAAACTAAAGAGATTTTGGAAAACAACAAATTTTTAGTTTGTTCCAAAATTTATGAAAATATTTGCTTCAGATTTAAACCAAAATTTCAGATTTAGTTAGTTTCAGTTCAATCCCAGATTAAACTGAATTTTTTAATTTGAATCAGAACACTAAACATACCTGACCCCAATTGTTAACAATATAATTTTAATCTTATATCATACATACACTAACACCCTTTTTATTATTAAACAATATGCATAGCAATAAGAAAAATAGTACAAATAACATAGATATAAATGAAGATTTTTTTTTTACAGATTTTTTTCTTGCAGATTTTTTCAAGAAAAACTATCAAACTTTTCTTGTGATGGCCCTAGTAGTGCCGAAGAATCTTTTGTTTGCGGTGATTCTTATTGTACTGCTGAGGAATTTGTTTGCGATAACCTTCATGGTTTTATTTACAGTAACTTTCACATTGCCAAGAAGTCTTTTGTTCACAGTGTAATAGAACGAATTAATTATTAGTTTATTATTTTATTATTTATTATTTATTAATTATTATCTTAGAATATTATTATTAT